TATGTAACACGTCAACGCCCGCACCGGGCAGAGAAGATGAAAAGATGCTTCCTCTTCTGATCTGTGGGGGGGGGAAAGACCCCTCCAACGATATCACTCTTGATTTAAAAGAGCTCGTGATGTTTTAGGCATAAAAGCTGGGTTGGTCTTAAATCAGCTGAGCTGCTCGTCAGCCTAAATTCTAAGGCATGACGAAGCAACAGAGAGGGCAGATAATTACTTACCCTCTTAGCGGGTGTTAAAACCAGCAGCAGGGCTGTTTAAAAAGACAAGAATTTAAGTGAAAACCTGATCCAGAGGCTCAATTGGAGCTTTGATCAGGGCTCGCAGGACCAGCGTTAAATCCCACTGTGGAGCAAGTGGACGTGAAGCAGGCCTGTGTCTCTGAACATCTTTTAGAAAAAACGCTTCATCAGCGGGTGATTAAAAGCTGTTCTGTCTCCGAAAACCTTCGTGGCAGGAATAGATGACTGCAACGTACGTTAAAGCGTACTGAAAGCCAACTCCCTATCCATCAGCTGTTGTAGAAAAACAACACGCCGCCTAAAAGGCATGAGGTGGCCTAAACCTTCTCTGTACACCAGCGCTGAAAAGCCGTCCCCTTTGATGTGTACAGAACTGTGGTGGATGCAGCACGTGAATCTTGAATTGTGCACACCATCTCCTGAGGGAGACCCATCCTCTAAGTGGGACCGCTCAGCGGTCAGACCCACAGGTGTTGACCTATTTCTGGGTAACTCTTGGTCGCTCCTCCTGCCTGAAGGAGAGCATCCTCCCTCCACGGCAGTTCCACGGCGACCCGACAACAGACGTTGCAGGCCTGGGAACCATGGTGCGTTCACACGCCGGGAGCCACCAGGAGAGCTGTCAATCCCTCCTCCTGAACTCGGTTCAGGAACCGTAAAAAACAGAGGAGGTGGGGGAAAAGAAACGCGTATAAAAGCGTTTTGGGCCACGGGCTGTGAGCAAATGCGTCCCCCCCCAGCGATGGATCGTCTCGCGGGCTCAGGGAAAACCATGGTTGACACTGAGCGTTCTTCTCGCGTCGCAAACAGGTCCACAGCTGCTTTGCCAACTTCTGCTACGTCTGAAAACATCAGATCTGGATGGAGGGTCCGGTCCACGTGACGTGGGCCGCCCTTGGACGTCACATCTGCCCCTCTGTTCAGAACACCGGATATGTAAAACCGCTCTAATAGAGAGCAGGTTTGATGAGCCCAACACAGTAGCTTTCGCGCAATGTGTAACATCTGGGCTGAACGCACACCCTTGATGGTTATGTACGCAGCAGTCATCATGTTGTCTGTGTGAATCAACACGTGTTGATTCTGTAGCACGGGAGCAAAGTGTTGAATCATATTCAGTGCTGTGCGACACTCCAAAAACATTGATGTGGGCTGATGTGTAGTGGGGCCACAGCGCCCCTACTGCTTGAGATAGGCATGTCCCCCCCCCCCCCCCCCAGCCTGAAAGCAACGTGGCCGTGAAGACTGACCCGTGACGTGGGTCTGCTGAGGGGGACTCCCTCTGACAGAAAACAAGGTGTTTCCCCAGAGTCGGAAGGTCTGCTCTCACAGAGGAAGGGACAATGATCATCCGTCGTTTTGTTTTACTGGATCCACATGCAGACGTGCAAAACCACCTCTGGAGGCGTCTCATGTGAAACAAACCAGCGGAACCACTGTGTGAGTGACATCATTTCCAACAGCTTCATGACGGAGACAGCTGTTATCACTTGCCAGGTCTTTAGGTGGCTGAGTTGACTTTTTAAAAAGGTGTCGAATCTAGTTTGTGATAAACGAGCTTTCATGGTGGTTGAATTTAATTCCACTCCCAGAAACAAATGTCTGGGCCAGGAAAATCGAGCTTCCTTCCAATTTATGGCGAAGCCCAGATTTAACAGGTGTGATGTCAACACCTGATCCTGCATCAGCGCCTCCTGTCTGAAGTGACAGGAGCAGCAGATCATCCAGGTAAAACAAAAACTCTCGTCTCTGTGTTAGGATGATCGGAATGCGTTCTCTGGATGTTAAACAACAGATCCAAAAAAAACGGTCTCACCCCTCCGATCCGTGAGTAAAAACCCTGTGTTTTCTCTCCGTTGGGGGACTCTGTAGATTACTTTTATCAGAAAACACTTGGATTTCTGCATTTAGGGATGAGAATCAGTCTGATGATGACGGGACCGTTTTTATAACTCCTCTGAATGGAGGGGTTCGGGTTGCAAACTGTAACTTGTACCATTTGCATAAAACCTTGTCCATCCATCTGAAAAATGGCGAGCATGTTTTAGCCACTCTACGTAACGTTCGTAGGGTGAACGTGCGTTAAGTGATGTGTCATGTTTTGTACGGCTGTCAGCAGTCCGCCCCTCAACCGCCGTCATGCGTCGCGGGAATGTTTTCTGTGTGATCCCGGGCGAGGCTTGAGCTGAAGGCGAAGCGTGTGACAGCTGATGACGCGGTGGGGCTGCGCGTTTGACGTCGCTGTGCGAACGTTGAAAAGGCGGAGGGCGTGACTTCATTTACGCCGTGCTGTTGGAGTGAAGGCTGCTAGCCCCGCGGGAGCACACGTTGTTCTCTGGAGGGACGCGCGCCGCTCTCGCTGGAGGGGCGCGCGCTGGAGGGAGGCGGGACTCATTACCGGGTTCTTCAGCTGCTTCACGTTTAAGCTGCGGTGAGCTGCCGAAAACTGAGACGCGGTGGGTGACGGCTGCCCGCGTTTGATTCGTCGAGACGGGTGTCGTTTCTTGTGAGAGAGAAGGACCTCCACCCGAACCAGCCTGCGGGCCACATTTATACCGATGTGAGATGGTTAGCGCCGGCAGCTATGTGTGCGCCAGCATCAACGCAGCGCCGTTTGGATGGAGGCTGTTCATTTAGTGATCGACTCGTCATGTCTAGAGCGGCGGTGAGTTAAAACCCTATTTAAGGACACCGGCTCATGTGGAGGCTGTTCCATCCCACGAGTGCGAGTTGACACCGCTTGAGTGAGGATCGTGCAGTTCTAGTTGGTAACGAGTTATTTTCGCTTACCGTTGTGCCGTGATCGACTCGTCATGTCTAGAGCGACGGTGAGTTTAAAAACCTTTAATTAAGGACACCGGCTCATGTGTGGAGGCTGTTCTGTGATCGACTCGTCATGTCTTAGAGCGACGGTGGGTTTAAAAACCTTTATTTAAGGACACCGGCTCGTGTGTGGGGCTGTTTCATCCCACGAGTGCGAGTTGACATCGCTTGAGTGAAAATCGTGCAGCTCGGGATTATAACGAGTTATTTCACTTACCATCGTGCCCTGTAAGCGACTAGTAATGTCTTGGAGCGGCGGTGAGTTTAAAAACCCTTATTAAGGACACCGGCTCTTATGTGTGCGGCCGCTGTGAGCTCATCCGAGCTTACAGACTGGCTAAAAAACAGACACTTTGATCATTAATGATGATTTGTTTCAACTTTCGTGTCACTTTTACACACACCCTCCGGAGACCGTCATTTTGAGAAACTTCTCTCTCATGAGCTCTGCGATAGTTTGCCCAGAGCGCTGTCTTGCAGGCGAACTCTGGGGAAACGCTGAGCTGCAGGCTGGATTCTGACGGGCGGGGCTGGTGGTGGAACTCAGCGAGAGCCGCGGCCGTGGAAAAGTCAAAGCTTGCTCGCGACAGTCCCTCCAGCGGGACGGGGTGGGCCGCGCGGCTTGATGAGGTGGCGCACAGCCTCTGGCACCTCCTCCGACTGTTTCACTTCGCCAGCATGGTTTGAAGCTGCTCTGAACAGCGCGTCCGCGATGAGCTTCATCAGGTCTTGTGCAGATTCTCCGGCAGCGAGGGGAGTAACGAAGCCAGGTGGGTCGATGGATCATCGTCATCCGCGCTGCAGTCCTCGACAGGCAAACCGTGGGAGAGGCACACATGTTGAGCTGGCGTCAGCTGCCTTACAGAGGGAGTTCTTTGTCTCCAAGGCAGGTCTGCGGCCTTCAGTCCCTTGGACATGCTATATGCTAGCAGCGCACGTTGTTGCTAACTGCGGCTGCCTGAAAACACGTCGGTGGGCTCGATTGGAGAGCGTGGTCGCCGTCTGGTTCCTCCGGAGGGACGGGACGCTGCTCCGACCTGGGCAGCTTCGCTCCGGAAGCTTCCGCGAGGCTTGGCTCCAGGGGGGGTTACCGAGGAATAGCCCCGCTCGGTGAATCCCTCAACTCTGGTGATGGGAGCGGACTGGGGACCGACTCCTCTAATCTACCAGGAAAGAACCGTCTGCGGCCTCGCCCGTCGAACATCCTGTTGGAACGTGAGGCCGTATGGATCAAGACGGTGAGCCATAGTGGAGCCCAGTGAAAAACAACCTTTCCGCCGATCATCCGAACTGGCGGGAAAAGGCGAGGGACGTAGAAAAAAGGGGTCCCTTCATGTCAGCCTCCTCCTGGGTTCCGCCGGGCAACCCCTGAGGGCGCTGTCGGCCGGGAGCGGTGTGATCGCCGATGCGAAACGAGGTGGGATGGGGTGAGCATTCACTCAGCCCCCCTCCACCTACACTACGCTCCCCAGGAGGGAATGAGCAGCGGGGGCTGCAGCTGAGCACGCCTTGCCCCGGAGGAACCATCCGGTTCGCCCCGAGGGTTGGCGATAAGAGGAAAAAACACAAGATGGCGTTGTCCAGCGTGTAGTGACCTGTCACTGGGAAATGTTCCCCGACGCTTACCTTGGAATAAGACTGCTGTCATCTTCTCCTCGGGGAGGAGAACTCACCGGACGACCGGAGGTCGACTGCCGGGCCAAGCATCCTTCACAAAGGTTGGTCATTTACACAATTTATCCTCTTTGTTCTTCTGACAGTGCTATATTAGCTCGCTGAAGAAAAAATGGGAGCCGATTTCCCGCTCTTAACGTAATTTATACGGACCGGGTGGGGCCCACACAGCAGGTGGGCATGGACTAATTTTTTCAGTGCTTATGCTCTGCATAACGGGATAAACCCACTAAAGCGAAGGCCTTAAAGGGCGAAGCTTATACGACATAGAACTGACACACTGCAGGGGGAAGCTTCTCCTGCAGTTTTTTCTCCTGCAGCTGTGGGCTGCACACAGGTGCAGCAGGTGCAAAATAATTTAAAATAATTTATTTTAAATAAAAAAATTCCATGTCGATCGTGCAGCTCATCTATCAATCAGCCAATTGCTGTCATGGCCAGTCTTATTTTGAAAAATCACGATAGAGAAAGTCTGCAAAAAACGAACCGCAACGTAGTTAGCAGTCACAGTATGTCTTAGGGATTGCTGACAGCTACTATAAAACCTGATTATAACTAAATATCTATAGAAATTCATTCAACCTTTATTTATACAGGTTAATCCCATTCAGCTTTGAAATGACTGAGACAGTTATTTTTCTAATAGCTTTGGTGGTCATCTTAAATTTTTGATTGGGATTAAGTATGTTCAGACTTCCCTCAAACCTAAATTTAGCTTCATATGCCTGAAAAAAACGACCAAGTTAAAACCAATTGTGTGTTTTCTAAGATAGCTGTGGCAGCTAGCTTGAATCAGAATAACTAAAAGTTAATCAGCTGGGTATGTGCATCACTTTCTGACAGTTTCATTAAAATCTGTAGTGGTTCATGAGCTATTTTGCTAAAAGACAGATATTACACGATATTGAGAGATAAACATGGAGTCACATGTTATGGAAGATGAAATAAAATCTACTGTTAAAATGAAGTCAAAAGAGGAAAAGAGGAGAGCAGAAATAAATAAATGGAGGAACTAAAGGGTGTAAAAGACAAATGTGACTCAGGACCTGAATAAATGGAAGCAACAAAGGCATCAGACTAATAAAACTCATTTAACACAGTTTGTTACACTATAACAGAAACCTTTATAAACACAACACAAGCTTAAAACCTGAAACAAGAGCAGGTTAAAAGTATATACAGTAGTGCTATTTTCTATATGACTGTCATTAATGTCATAAGATTAATCTTTTTCTTCATGTCATTTGAGAACTCAGGTTTTTATTGTTTTGTATCATGGTGAAAGACAGTTTAAACAAATTCATCTTAGAAAATATTCTACATCTCTTCTGCATTAAATGAACTAATCATCTGATTCTGAAGCCTGTCAAAAATATTGAGATGCAGGAACTAAAAATATCCGTGTCTGTCTTTCTTTTTGTCTTATGCTTTAAATAATAGCCAGCAGCAGAAGTTTATTAATATTGATTCTTTTAATTTGGAGTTTAACATGACTAAACATAAAAACATGTCTCTGCTGACAGCTTCAGTTAGCTCATTAGCAGTCTAAGTAACTCTCATCAATCTGTAATATTCAAGCAAATATATACTTTTAACACATTACTTTTTGTACACAAAAGGTGACTGACATTCGTTTCATTTACATACACAGCTCATTTTGACACGACTTGTCAGTGAATCCTCCTGCTACCAAGCTAGCTCACTAGCCTAGCTTGTGACATGTACTGTCTAAAAAGTAACATTTAATATTACTTACTTTACGATATCCTCACATGCCTCCAAGCCAAATTTATAGTGTAACTGGTCCACACACCACTCCAACAAGGCCTCCGACATTTTTAACCAACAAAATGTGATCACAAATGAAGAAGAACCTAAAGTTATGGCTTGTACAAGTTTCCAGTCGGACACATATGAAAGACGCACCGCAATGTTTACAAGGTGCCATAGACAAGGTGCGACTCAACAGGTTCCAAGAGAATATATATAAAGCAAATGGAAAAAAATGGTTTATTCCAGAATACATTTTTAAATTTATTTTAATTTTAATCACACTTTATAGAAAATATAAACCATTTTCTTTCTTAGCAGTGTATGTGTTAAGTTTGGCCACTAGATGTCAGTATTGTGCTGCTGTAGTGGTTTCAGCTCATCATTAAATTTCAATAACAGATGAACAAGCCAATGATTTGTTATTTTTTTTTCCCCCAGCATGATTTAATGACGTGACAAATAAAATGTACAAACACTGTGAAGAGAGACCTTAAAGTTATGGTGCATATCTGAAATATCTATGTGTTGTATTGAGTGGTTATTTTTTTATTAATGCATTTTTTAATATGTAATTTTGTTCATTTTAGGCCCAATGGGCAGCCTCTGCAGTGTTGTTTGAATACTTTACAATATGCTGACAACAGATTATTTGAAATGCTAAAGGTGGTTGTTGCCAAAACACACTCACACACATACACACACAAACAAAAACAACAACAACAACAACAAAAACACCAAATACCAACAAAATAATAAAGAACAGTCATACAAGTTGCAATAGTAAATGCAAATTCACTCTGTGAGTCTAATTACATTTTTTGTGTCAGAAGATTGTTTGACTAGGTCAAATCTTTCACAACACTTTAAAGGTCATTGCTACTTATTTTTTCAATATAATCAGTATTTAGTTTTGTTTTTTTGGCCTCCAGACAATCTAAAAACAAACAACCTTTGTAAAATGTACCTAATTAGTATTATTAAACCAATGAATTTGTGAATCTTGCATCATTTCAGAAAAATAAAGTATTTATATATAAAACCTAAAATATTGTTCTGATTTTTTTCATGCAACCTTTGTGTGTAAATTAAGTTTTGTTTTGAAGTCTCTCAAGAAAACAAGAAAACAAATTTAACAAACTGCACCAAACCTATCAAGTTAGGTTCAGTAAAACAACAACAACAACAAAAATCATTAGCTATATAAAAAGACAAAACAGATTTTCAAATGGAAGTTCAATTTCAAAAATGAATTAATTTATTTGCTTAACTTTACAATTTGTAAATACAATAGCAAAACCCAAACTATGCAACAATGAAAAAAGCAGAATATATAAATCATTTAGACATAAATAAATTTTTGAAAATGATCTAAAATGTTCAAGATAAAGTTCAACAACCAAGTATTGCTACATGGAGTTAAGGTGTTGAGTTTTGTCTCTGTCAATAATATCTTGTGTTTATAAAAAGGCAATGAGTGCCTCTATTTTCAGTAGTATTTATGTGATTAATTATAATACAAGTTACTGTAGCTGTTTCATAAATTTAATATATTTATAAGAATGCCTACGCTGTAATAAGTAACACTTCTGTTTAAGATGCACATGTGCAAAAACACTTAATACAAGTCAGTTTCATAATCAAACTGTATTGAAAAGAACAATATAAAAGATGGTTTTGAAAATGCAAGACTGTGCAGTTTAGATGACAGAAAAACAATTTTACAACATAAATGAATACATATCTTTTTATTTTTGTATTTTCTTGAATCAAAGCAGTACATTTCATGTTAAGAAAGGGTAAAATTACTAGCAAGTTTACTTCCCTATGATTTTATAATTAGTTACTCTGTGAGGAGAGACAGAAACTTTATGATCACAGCTTCAAGCAAAAAAGTCTTTGGCAATGGCTTCAACAAAATTCGGTGCTGACATGAGGATCCCGATGGTGCAGAGGATTGTGAAGAGTGAGAAAGCCATGAGGCAAAGCCTGTCAATGACAGATGCAGCAAATTTCCACTCGTTGCACATTGACTCATCTTCATCCTGGTCACGAAAACGCTTGGCGATGTAACGCACCTCATCTAAGATCTTAGCCAGCTCTAGTTCCATGTTTCCCACAGCACAGCTCTGACTCGAGGGGAGAAGCATCTCGTCCTCACCTGGTCTTCCGAGCAGCCGTCCACAAAGGACGCCGGAGTCCGGAGATGTGGCGGCTGTGGAGCAGTGGATGCTCTCTAGACCACGGACACCAACATAAAGCATGTGGCCATTCGCTGACTGGGAGACAGAGGTGCTCACGTTCAGGTCCACGCTGGTCAGACTGCTGCGCCGAGTCCTGTTGTGACAGGCGGAGCGCACTCGCTGTTCACCTGGACGCTTCATCCGCAGGAACCAGGCGCACCAGTTCAGGAGGATCACACGAGTCTTCAAGGTTAGAGAGCAGTGAAGAATGCTATTAGCAGCTTGAAACTTTAAAACATATTATAAATGTCTAATGTGCAATCCCACTCATGATGGGAGTGCATCAAGGATCAGTTCTGAGCGCTTTCTTGTTTGCTCTGGTGATGGACCGACTAACAGATGAGGTCAGGCAGAAATCCCTGTGGACTATGATGTTTGCAGATGACATGATCTGTGGTGAGAACAGAACAGGTGGAAGAGAACTTGGAGAGGTGGAGGTATGCACTTGAAAGAAGAGGAATGAAAGTCAGCCATAATAAAACAGAGTACATGCATGTGAATGAGAGGGAGGCCGGTGGAACAGTGAGGCTACAAGGAGCAGAGGTCACAAAGGTGCAGGACTTCAAGTACTTGGGGTCCACTGTCCAGGACAATGCAAAGTATGGAAAAGAGGTAAACACGAGGATGAAGTGGATGGAGAAAAGTTTCAGGAGTGATTTGTGACATAAGGGTGTCAGCAAAGGTCAAAAGAAAAGTTTGCAAGAAAGTGGTGAGAGCAGCTGTTGTATGGTCTGGAGACAGAGACATGGACAAAAAGACAGGAGACAGAACTGGAAGTGGCAGAAATGAAGATGTTGAGGTTCTCCTTAGGAGTGACGAGGCTGGATAAGATTAGGAATGAGATCATCAGAGGTACAGCACAGGTTGAACAACTGGGAGATAAAGTTAGAGAGACCAGACTGAGATGGTTTAGACATGTCCAGAGGAGGGACAGTGGGTATACTGGTAGAAGGATGTTAGAAATGCAGCTGCCAGGAAAAAGATAAAGAGAAGAAATATGGATGCAGTTAGAGACATGGAAGTAGATGGAGAGGACAAAGTGCCATGAACGAGGATGACTCATTGTGGCGACCCCTGAAGATGGAAAAGCCGAAAGAAAAAAAGATGCAAGTCTAAATCATGCAGATTTTAACTTTTGTTTTCATAAAGAAATTCTGAGTTTCTTTTTCTATACTGGTTTTTAACCAACAGTAAAGTACGCTGGTGAAGATTCTCAGTCATCCAGGACATGGCTTCAGGACTTGGTTAGTGACAACAAGTTCAAATGCAAAACAAACAATATCAGTTCTACTTGGAGACAGGAAGCAAACCACCTGAGTATTTATCATAAGCTAAAAGTGTGAAAACTGAAAGACTTACCCACTTTGGCATCTTGCCCCCATCAGGATCATGGTGGTGATATTGCAGGACCAGAACCGTAGCGATGACTGAAAGACCAACAATGACCATGGTAGTGGCAAAGTATTCAGCTGGGCAAGGAAGAAAACAAAAAAGCAAATTACAAGAAAGATAAAAAGAGAAAGCAAATATTTTCTATTGGATCAAAAGCCAAATTTAAGGGTAAACTCACGACACTGCTCAGTTACTGAAACCTCAGTATTGACCTTTTAATGTTAGCAGAGACAAAATACTGTGTTTTTATGAGATGTATTTTATATACATGTAATATCAACAGAAAGGGCTTGCTGCTTTAGATTGGAGATAATGCAGTTCACTTTTATGACATCATTCTTGGCTTTTGCTTGCCTGCTGCTGTCTGGGTCCACCAGCACATTATCACTTGATACATTCACAGATGAACTGGCTGAATTCGTTCTTAAGATCCTTTTGCACAACTGACGTGATCAGGACTGCAACTCACAGCCGTAAGAGTGATACACGTTTGATGAACTTCCCAGAGATAAAATAAATAATTAAAACCTGTTTCTTCTTCGTGCTTCTGTAGGTCAAACAGGGTGAATCCATAGAAAAACAGATGAGAGAAGAAATGTTCCCTCATGATTTCATAATGTTCCACAACTGCTTTGTAACTTTAATTCAATTCAGTTCAGTTTATTTTTAAAGCTCCAATTCACAACAAAGTTGTCTCATAGCACTGAACAGAAAGAGTAAAACTTAGTAAAGTTCTCTATCCAAGGAAACCAGCACTCGTTGAATCTTCACTTTGTCGCAGTCTTCCATCCTGAGCAAGCACAAAGGCAACAGTGGAAAGGAAAAACTCCCTTTTAACAGGAAGAAGCCTCCATCAGAACCAGGCTCAGGACTAACTTTAGCTTGAATTACCTATCAAAGGCACCGAGTCTGACGTGGCCGGCATGATTTCTGCAACCAGCAGCATGAAGACGGTCAGGGAGAGCAGGACTGTGATGCCTGGGAGGGACACGAAACTCAGTTAGTGTCATGGAAAATAGTCCAGTTCCTTTCTGATGAACGAGTATCACAACTCTAACCTGTGTCAGCATTAGCTGATGTGCCAAAAGTAATTTAAATACTATATTTCTTTAGTGGAAAACAATAATACTTTGTACTGCCTTGTTTTCAGATGTGTCTCACATTTAGCTGTTTTTATGTAAAGCATTTTGATTTAGCTGATGCATTTGTGACACCTCACCTTCTTGCTCTCATTTAGACATTTTATTTTCAAAAAACAAACATTAATAAATAAATAAATAAATCACCCTTAAAAACTGAGCTGGGGTTAGGTTAAAGCTTCTTCCATCGTATACCCATGCTCTGACGCTTAACACTGCAGTACATAAAGCAGGTATTTGTAACCAAGAGTGAGAAGAGTAGTTCTACAAAAGCATTTAAGATCCACATAACATTAACAATATGCATATATAATACTGTGCAATAGTCTTGAACCACTCATATATTTTGCAATCTCTAAGCCAGACTTCCTTGTCATTTAAAATGTTTCTTAGTTTGTCTAAATATAATATTTTAAATTGGTTCCTGGCTAATTTGTCTGTTATAAGAGCCTTTTATGACATTACATCATTAACAATAAAAATGAAAGTACAAAGGGACGAACAGAAAATAAACAAAATAGCAAACAATTAAAATAAATTTAGCCTATTTGGAGGCAAATTACTGTAATATGACCAAATTACAGGGTCCCACCAACGCCACAGAATTGTGCATCTTTAACTTCTAAAAACATTAGTTTGTTGCGACCGCACCCATAGTTTTTATTTTTATTTATCTTTGAACTAACTAATCCCCCATCAGAGAATTGTATGAACTCAAATAATTAAAGTTACTTTAAAAAGTAAAGTAAAAATAAATAAATAAACAAGATAAGTTTCAATAGGACATGATTTCCTTATTTCACTGGTGCTCAATGCAGTTACACACACGTGAGGTCAGAAGCAACAAATCCTCACAGTTAGAGCTCTTATTGACCAGGAATGAAATATTTTAATCAAAGAATCAGTCAATTATGTCTGTAGAAATTATGTAATTGTAAAAAACTCAAAATCTTTGCAAAAATAATCTTATCTAAACCCATATACTGACTTGTCTGAAACAACACATTTAAAACAGCACAATTCTATCAATATATCACATATTATATCAGATAAATATATCACATCAATATATCAGATAATATAATATATAGCATGTACTGTATGTGCAAACACGCATAAAGACACAAATCTGATCTGCAGCTCAGATAATGAAGGAAAACAGCTGCAGCATAAATCAGCAACCTTTCACAACTGCATACATATTCATAAACATCATTTCCCTACAGCTACATTTCCTTGCAGCCCTAACCAGCTGCAAAAACTGTTTCTATAAAGCCTTCATCATTTATGCAAAATGCAGTGATTTCAAAAGAGTCTTCTGAGATGATAATGTGCTGTTTTCCCAACCCTCTTACAAGTAATTTTGTCAGCTTTGATTATTTGCACCGTTCATGAGACAACAAAGAAGGTGAGTTATAATCTGTTGTTTCTATTTGAACAGCTGATTTCCCTGGATACAGCAAGGATGAGAAATGAGGTTGTTCACGATGGAGAAAAACTAATGAAAGTGTTGATTATTTGTTTAAACCACTTGGGTGACATTTTGTCAATCAGGTCAACACTGGCAGACACTAAACCGAAGTTTCAGAAAACGCTTTAACTTCTAAATGTAGTGTCATTTCCAGGTATTTGGAAATTATTACAAAGAATCAAAAAGTCTGAAAATGACTGCAGGAACCACATTTAGAAATGCTAAGACTAAAGAAAACACACTACGTTTATTATATTTTTACCTGCTGTTGAAAGATTTGAGAGGTTCAAACTCAATTTATAAGATACATTCTTTGATTAGGGGTTTAAGCGAAGCAGTGGTTCTGATTCACATATCGTGAAGCATTGAACTGTATAAGTACGATGAATAAACCTAATGCAGTTTTAATTTGAGTTCCTAGACAATGATTGTTCAGAATATAATTTATTTAAATAAAAAGAAGAGTTGTAATAATTAAATCAAACTGACATCTCAGTGTTTGGTTTCAGTTCAGGTACAAATATCCAAAACACTTAATTTCTTAAAGAGTAATAATAAAATAAAAGGTTGTACTTGGAGCACAAGGCTAATGTTAGCTTCTTCTTCTTCTTTCAGCTTTTCCCTCTTCAGGGGTCTCCACAGCGAGTCATCCTCCTCCACCTCACTCTGTCCTCTGCATCCTTTGTCCTCAATCCAACTACCTCCATGTCTCTAACTGCATCCATAGATCTCCTCTTTGTCTTTTTCCTGGCAGCTGCATTTCTAACATCCTTCTACCAGTATACCCACTGTCCCTCCTCTTGACATGTCCAAATCATCTCAGTCTGGTTTCTCTACTGACAACATTTAGCATCAGACCTTCTACTGCTACCTTCATACACATCACCATATCTGACACTCTTTTCACCTCTACTACATTCTTTGTCAACTCCTCCTTCAGGACCACCCCTACTCCATTTCTCTTTCTATCCACACCATGGTTAAACAGTTTGAATCCTGCTCCAATGCTGCGAGCCTTGCTGCCCTTCCACTTGGTCTCTTGGACACATAAAACATCTACCTTCCTTCTCTGCATCATGTCAGCCAGCTCTACCTTTGCCTGTCATTGTCCCCACATCTAGAGTTGCAACCTTCAGTACTACATTCTTCACTTTCCCCTTCTCCTCTGTCTCCTGACACGTTTCCCTCCTCGTGGTCTTCGACTAACAGTAGCACAATTTCCGCCGGCACCCTGTTTGTCAACAGCACCGGGGGCAGTCGTTGTTAACCCGGGCCTCGACTGATCTGGTATGATTTTGCTTTGATGAACTCGCATTATGGTTTTGGCTAAAGTGTTTTACATCGGATGCCATTCCAGACACAACCCTCACCATTTACCCGGGCTTGGGACCGGCACAAGAGATACATTGGCTTGTGCTCCCTAGTGGCTGGTTTAAAGGCTAATGTTAGCTAACATAAGTTAAATGATAATATTAAACACTTATTCCTACAAGATGAGCAACACTGAAAAATGTACCGGATCATATAACAGATCAGATAGTCTGTCAGGCTGTTTGAAAAATATTGCAATGTAAAGAAATAATCACTTGATTAAAGATATACTCTGTTTTTAATATTTTAAAATCTAAAATAATAATTAGGTACAACACAGTCACTATTCAACTCACTCAAGTGTTTCTTTTTCTTTTTTAAAGTTAATGTTTATTTAAAAATGCAAATAACTTCCCGACACTCTGCATCCTGCAATTTTTTTAATAAACAGTTTTTTTTTCCAACTTCTAATTATTCAAAAACATTGTTTTTATGTTTATGAGGTTTTACTAATTCTAGATATTTTGGGGACATGAACAAAAGCTCAAGACTTATAAAACTGTCTGGGCAAGGCGGGAAATGGGGTCTTTGCTAATTTTATACATTAGAGAAACAAAACAAATTTTTAGAAAACCCGATTAAAAAAAAAAGAACAAATGCCTTCTTTAATCTTTACAAGTCCAAAATCAGCTTCGTTTGACATTTTGATATGTACAAAATATCATTTTAAACTGATAATTCATCAAAGAATAGGACAGCTCACATGTTTGTAAGTCTGTCGAGACAGAGGAACAAATGGTTACTGATAATTTACTTAATTAGGTCATTAATTGATCAAAAAGAGAGGGGAGAATGGGAACAGAAATCCAAAACAGATACATTTGGATTCCACCCCCTACACCCACACCCCCAAAAAAAGAATTAAGATTACTTCGGACGTTTCTGTATGAAGAAGATAAAATGTGACAGGCTGAGGATCATCTGTACTGCCACACAGAGTGATAATGTTAAATGTATTTTTACTCAGATCTAAACCATGACTTGTAGTTCAACTTGTTGTACTTTCATCAACATTTCCCCTCAAATCCAACAACAACCAAAAAAAAAATAGTTGCCGTAACTTAATCTATGTCCTATGAACTCTGTGTTTTCAGATTATCTTCTGATTCTGAACGGCATCTTCAATATTTACCTGCCTTCAAAACCATTCATCTGTTAGGTGGTGATGAAAGAGCATCCCGTTGACGCAGTAAATCATATGAAACAGCAAGCGTTGCTGTTTTCAGGCCACTTAGTAATAATTAATGAGACCCAATTAAATTTGTGCTTGAAAATATCTACTGCATCTACGGACATGCTCATGGTTTCAATAATATTCAGGAAACTGAATAAATCAGTGGATGATAAAACTTAAAACAGTTTGCAGTGAAGGAATCTACAGTCATGCAGAAAAGAAAGAAGAAAGTCTTTCATCTGTAGAGTTTTATACAAGAACATAGAAGATGATCTGGTTTTTAACCAGCTTCTAAAGTTACTTAAATCTAACCTTAAGTGTGCAAAATACACATCAGGTCAATATTTATTAAATAGAAATGTAAAGATAAATGGACTGTATTTATATAGCATCTTTCTATCTTATCAAGACACTCAAAGCTCTATACAATCAGTGTCCTCATTTACCCATTCATACAACACTCTACTAGATCTCTACAAAGAATAATCTGCTTTATCACATTCATACACTGATGGGACACACATCAGAGGCAATGAGGGGTTCAGTGTCTTGCCCAGGGACACTTCAGCATATGACTGCTGATGGAATTGAACCCTCAACTCTTGCATTAGAGGATGACTGCTCTAACCACTCAGCCAGAGCCGGCCCAAGATAATGACAGTTCACTTAGAAAAGAATTGGACATGAATGGGTTTTCTAAAAGGATTGCAGGCGAAAGTAATTTCTCTAAAAGGAACATGGTGTCACAACTTGGGTTTTCACAATTTCATCTGAATGAACCACAAGACATCTGGGTCTGGGACAATGTCTTTTGGTTTGAATAAGACCAAAATAGACAGTTTACCCTTCAGGCACAGTGTCTTCATAACTGAAGATTGGACAAATTGGATCATGGTGCAATAGAACAATGATCCCCAATGGAGCAGCAAATTCATGCTGTAAAAGGTGGGCTTTCTTTTCACCATAACTGTACTGCTAGTTTATGTATGCATTTGTGTATTTGTGCTCCTCAGACCCAGTGAGATCTTTTCTCCAGAGTCGGCAGGCAGAAGGAAGACGAGCAGAGCCAGAGTAGAGATCAGGACGCACGGGACGAGCAGATTGAGGCCATAATACAGTGTCCGTCTGCGCATCACCACAGTAAATGTGATATCAGGGTAAGGCTCATCACAGCATTCATAAAAACGCTCACTCCTTCTTCCTGGGACCTCTGCAAACAAGAACACAACCTGCTGTAATAGGAAACAGGTGAAAACTCAAAGATCTACCATCGTTTTAAGGGGACTGAGAAATGAAAGGACATGCAATGCACGGTTGGACACAATTCACAGGACACCCTTTTACCAACAAGATCCCACTCTCCATTGGCGATGTAGCCAGTGATGTCCGCCTCCAGCATTTTTAAATCCAAAGACCAGCCTCCATACGTCCAAGAGCCAAACTTCAGCTCGCACCTCTGGACATCGAAGGGGAACCAACGAACATCAATATAACAGGTGCTCTTGAAGATCCCTGTTGAGACAAACATAACGAATGACAGCAGGCCGGTCTCAACTTTCAAACCACACTGTTGTGGTCAAACACACAGAAAGACTTCCTTTCTTTGGTGTGTATTTCATTTTCTGACTAGGAATATTTTACTCTTCTCTGGAAGTAGAAGAAAATTGAAAAACGACATGACAAGGCCAGCAACTTGCGAGGCAGTATAGTGGTTTTATTCTGAGTAGATATGAAGTTCCATCTGTTTTATCAAGATGAAAGAAATTCAATACGACAATGGGATGAAAGTGGAGGGCAATTCATCAGGAGAGTCACCGTCAAACTAATTTCCATACATATTTAAGAAAGATACGAGATGCTGGCAGTAAACAAGCTGTCTTCTCTCTTCCACTGGCGAGGGAAATGAATTGAGATGAAGAGGAAATGAACAGAGATGGGTGCAAACAAACAGAATAAAATCTATTTTCTGCAATAAACCTCTGTGACAAATGCTGGGAAACTCCATTGATTTGTCTCTACAAGTCACACCTGCGTGCATTTTACTCATTTAATGCAGGTGTGTGGACTTCATGCAACATATGAATATTTTGTTTGATGATGGTTCATTAGGAGCAAAGGTGAGCAGTGATTCTCTTGTGACGGATGCAATCAGTCAAGAAGAAAGTCAGTGATGGAGCTATTTATGTTGGTATTGATTAAGATGCTGCGGTAAAGCTTTTGCATTGTAAGGGATAAAGCGGGAAGAGGAGCTTGCCAGGAGGAGCAGTAATTACTACTCGTGTCAGCGAGGCCTTGCTGCTTCACTGAGTTCACAAAGTTCTCCTGCTTGTGCACACAGGCATGGATGCTTTTACAGAAATGGTCATGTATCTTAAATGTTCCCACTGTGTAGAGGAAGTTGGTCGATGAAGCATAGTTAAGAACAACTTTGATATTTGATCTGTCGAGGCCAAACGTCCATATCTTGATTTCAACCACTCAACATCCAGGTCCTCCTTTGTCATCTGTTTCAAATTTTCATAATTCAATTCAATTCAATTCACAAATACTTTATTAATCCCAGAGGGAAATTAAGTGTTGTTGTAACTCATCATCCTGGTTTCATTAAAGAGTTGTTTATAGATGCTGATAGCTGTGGGCAGGAAGAATCTCCTACAGCGAATCCTAAGAATCTGGCCACAGATACCGATCAGTCCACCTGGATCCAGCTTGCTGTCAGATCTGGTGGAGACAAACAACCATTCACTCTCTCACTCACACCTACAGACAATTTAGAGTTACCAATCAGCCTAACATGCATGCTGTTGGTCTGTGGGAAGAAACCGGAGTACCCAGAGAAAACTCACACATGCACTGAAAGAACATGCAAACTCCACCCAGAAAGGCTCCCTGACCAGGATTTGATTTGATGGCCTTCTCGATGGGAGGCAACAGCTCTACTATCTGAGCCACCGTGCTGCCGCACTAACGTTCCAATATGTGAAATGAGTATTATGGTACTACAAGAGTTAAAAAAAAAATCCTTGGTGAAAAACTTTGAATCTGGACAGCAGTATGCAGTATGCTGCATAAATGTGGGGTGTTTTTACCGATGTGTGAGATACCCATGTGCACTGCTCGAACACATGTTGTCACAAATATTTGTTTTAGAACTGTGCATTGGCAGTAGAGTGCAAAACTATTACAGGATTTATTAGAAGAAAACTCATGCTTAAACTGGATTTCTCAACATGCTTTCACAATTCAGGCAGGAGGTTGAGGAGCATTAAGTGTGGAACCACTAGACTGAGGAACAGCTTCTACCCTGAGGCTGTTAGACTCATGAATATCTAACCAGAATAATCACTGTGAAAAATCAAATCATGTTGCTGCTGATCCGTTTCATGTTGCTGCTGATCTGTTTCAATGTTGCTGCTGATCTGTTTCATGTTTCTGTGTTCATGCTTGCTCATCTGCTCACACAGACTCATGTTTGTGCTGCTGTTCAACATATTGTTTTTGTACTACTAGTGCTTAATGTGTTTTTGTTAACATTTTTCTTAGTTCCTATCTTAGATCTTATTACTGTCTTTCTTTTACATTTTATACTTTTGTTGGATGTAACTGGGACCCTGTGTACATAATTTCGTTCCACCACATGTACCACATGTGACGCATGACAAATAAAGAAACTTTGACTTTGACTCTCTCTGCCAATTAAACTTATATTTTAGATGTGATAAATGGAAGGTTTATTTATTGCTAATGGAAATCTAACCTCCCTAAAAAAGTAAACAAACACAAAGATTATAATTCATACCTGGAGGAAGGTAGGAACAGGAGCCGGAGGAGTTCACCAAAATGTTGGTGTGGAAGGTTGCATCAAATCTTTCATCTGCACTGCACACAACAGGAAACTGTGTTAGTACTTTTTACATCGTCATCTCTAACCAAACTATGACTTACACACACACACATACACGCACACACACACACATTGACACTGAAAGTCTGAAATCCAGAATTTGCCGTGACAATGACAAATGAAGAACAAAGCTTTGTTTCTTATTACTTGAGTGCTTTTAATACGGTTTGTTCAGATCTTGTAAAGATTGATTAATGGTGGACTTTGTGGCACTTTCCATTTGGGACATATAATAAAAGCACTTTCTCCCATCTTGTCTAATACAGTTTTATTCATTTCTGTGAATGATTTATTACTCCAGATCGCTGATCTGGACTGTCCCGCATATATTTAAGCTCCGCTGAGCAGCTAACCTTGAAGTACAATGTTCTTGTCTAAAAAGTGCTTACCTAACAGAATAGGTCATTGAACTGGAAAACTGCTAACATTTTTCATCTGTGATTAGCCTTTATGGAGAAAAGAAAAACAAAAACACTTTTTTTTAGATACAAATGCTGGTGCAAATTTGTAAAAACTAGAAAAGCAATGCTGATAAGGGACCAGAACATGGCGAGATTATGAAAAACTATTTAAAAAAAATTTTTTTTTGCACAAAAACACAAACTTTTCCAAAACTTCTGCCTATCACTTTACAAAAATCAATGCAAGAGAAATCAAAGGTTAATTAAATTACTGTAAGTTCATAAATGAGAGCAACATTTTATGGACTCCAGAGGTTTTATTATTTTATGTAAAAAAAGAAGTACTTTCAGATCAATATTTGTTAACCAAAAGGACAAATAGCTACGGACAGACCATCAAATCTGCATGTTTTGGTTTACGATTTAATTACGTGAAGAACAAAATGTAATGATTTTAGAAACGTTTGGACCCAGGATTGCAGACAGACACATGCAGCTTCCACAAATAAATCCCTAAACTTTTTTTAATTTTATTTTTTAAAGCTGACATTGCAGCAAAACAAAGTCTCAAAGAGGCATAAAGGGATTAAAAACCAGACTCGGTGTGAAATACACACATGGGAGATCATATGAAGCAGGGTTCCAGGAACTAACTGTAGACAAGTACTGGGAGTAATGAACTGGTGATGACAACAGTAGAATCCAGGGAGACAGAACCTTACTGCTGCTAGAGGAACTATAAAAACAACACACAAGATAACTACGGTAAATGGAAAAAAACATAATTAAACACAAAATAAATACAAAAATAATCAAAAACACACAAGTAATAATACAAAAGGTAACCCAAGTCAGCAAAGTAGATACAAGCAATGATAGCACTTTATTCACAAATCCATCACTTGTGTGACATACAAACACTAATGAAATAAAGTAAAATACCTATCTTTTCTTAAAACAATGCATATCTCCCTCCATTCTTTCATGCCAATATTAGAAGTTTTGTTAGCAATCAGAATATGTGTTGTAGATTGCTCTCAGCTACTACCATATACAATATCTGTAAATCTAAGTTATAGCAATACTTGTGTTTTCTAAAGTCTCCATCTGTGGCAGCCATTTAAAATTGGGTTGACTCCAAAAGTGTATCCGTACATCATGTTACTGTTACTTTTTAAAGTTTACCGTATTTTTCGGACTATAAGACACACCGGATTATAAAGCGCGTTAAGCAAAACAAAACAGTCAGATAAGTCAAACTTTATTCAACTTATTCACAGTAACTCTCAACATTGTTCAGCTGTAATACATAAAATAATTTCGAGGTCAGTAAGCACAACCAGAATTAATACATAAGGCTCACTGGATTATAAGGCTCACTGTCAATTTATAAGAAAATTAAAGGATTTTAAGTGTGCCTTATAGTCAGAAAAATATGGTAATTGAAATCTGTCCAGAGGTTCTTGAGACAATTTGTTAACAGAGTTATCGGTTATCGGAGTTATCGGAGTTATCGGAGTTAGCAGTAGTGGCAAAGTTTTTAGTTGTAACTGATACTATACAGCCATCACGCTTTCAGAAAATAATTGCTTTACTCTTCCTGTTGCAACCATGGCTCAAACCTGCAGCCTTAACTGACTGTGCACCAACCACCAAGCTACCACCTACTACCGTCTCTTGGAACAGAAAACTTAGGCTTGATAAATTCACATAAAAAGTTTAAAACCCTCAAGTTAAACAGAAAAAAACATGATATAGATTAATTTCCTGTGCAGTCTTCATGCTGCCTACCTGTTGTAAAGCAGAATGTCTGGTTTCCAGATGAGATGGTCAGGAAACCTCACGTTGGTGACGCCTGGATAATCTGCTGTGTTCCACTGAAGGTAGTAGTCATTCCAGTACTGCGAGATGTAAAATCATTATGTACTTTCTTATGTTTCACACTTACAGAATATTTCTTTAACATTCCCAAAAGATCCTCTTCGGTAAGCCTGGGATTTAGGGCAGCTTGTCACACTTCACTGAAAGTTGCTTTAACAGGAGAAAATCATGTGTGTGACAGAAGCTGTGGATATGTTCATGCTGCAAGAATTGAGTTTAATCTTCGTACTGAGCTTTAGCAGCATGTCAGGATGGGATACCATCTGTCAGAGAATACAGTACTGAGCACATTTGGATTGTTGACAGGAAAGTGGCAGAAAGAAAAGGAAAATTCACTGGATCACACAACGATGATTCACCCTGAAGAGGCAGGAATGTTTGTGGGAAAGGTTACAGCAAACTGTGGAAAACAATGAGACCATGGTTAAAGACTTAACGTGAAATGTTCCTTCATTTTAATTTTGAATGGAAACTTTTATAATGAATGAATAAACTAGCTAAGTGACCTAAGAGCTAGTTAAATGTTTAAAATATCTGTTCTATAAAAAAGTGTTTCATTTCCTACCAAAGCCTGTCGTCACTCAAGTATTTATTTTTTCCAATATATAAGGAAAACTATGGTCAAAATGGAAACTATATGGTCTTGTTGTGAATGTACATAAGTCAAACTTTCATTTAAATACTGAAACGACATTTTAAGATATGGTATAATTTTGTGTCTTTTTTTTCTCTCTCTCGCTTTGCTCCAGTGAAGACACACGTGTCCTCCTGTGCTCCGTCCCCCCAGCTTCCTTGTTTGCTCTCTTTTGTCTTGTGAACCCTTAAAGAGCCTCTTTTTTTTCATGCATACCTTCCTAATTCGAAGGATTTGATCAGCTGGTCTCTCAACAAAATTGATCAACTTCTCCCGACAGGAGTCAGGGTAAGGAGGACCCTCTTATCTCGACGGAAACACATTGGATTCATGATGACAACTGGATTCTGCTGTTTGGGTTGGTGAAATCTGGATTGTCTAAAAATTTGTGTGGATGTGTCGAAGCTTGGCAGCACTCAGACTGAATTATGTGGAGCTGCGTTGGAGAGCTGGATCAGACTGTTATCAGGACTGTGAACTTTCTGGCAGCACCCATGAATGGTTGGAAATAATCTTGGAGAAAGCTGTGAGCTCGACTTTCAGCGTAAGGAATCAATTTGGCTGTTTGGAGTCATCATCAGAGACATGTACCAGCGAGACTTTAAAAGGCAGAAACAACAATTCAGGAGTTCTGCCTGACCCAAACTGTGGCCTTGATGGCGGACTTATCTCAATACCTCCTGGCATGTTTAAGAAAAACAAAAATGCTTTGTCCATCTCCTCATCCCTCCCTTCCCCAAGGCCATGGACATGTGATGGAACCTCATCCGAGCTGATGATAACTAACACATCTTATCTGGAAAATGGCTTGGGGGGTGGGGGAGGGGGGGGGGGGGGGTGGCTCTTGACTATGCTACAACCTTCCCTTAAAATTCAATGTCTTCACCAGCCTACATGTATATGTATCATGTCTATTTATGTGCCATGCTGTGGTAGTTCTATTTCGTATAGGCTTCACCCTTTAAGGCTATCGCTAGTGGGTTTATACCTTCGCGCGCAGCACTGAAAACTTTAGTCTATGCCCACCTGCTGTGTGGGCCTCACCCCCAGTCCATATAAATTATGGTGAGACTGGGTAATCGGCTCCCATTTTTTCTTCAGTCAGATAGCTAGCACTGTCAGAAGAACGAAGAAGGAAAAGATGTCCAGCTTTGACCGGCACAAATTTTGCTAAGGATGCCTGGGTCTCCGCCACGCCAACCTCCTGCTGTCCTGGTGAGCTCTTCCTCCCGAAGAGAAGCAGAGACGAGCAGGCTTGTTCAAGGTAAGTGCCGAGGAGTGCTTTTCCGTGGCGGGCCGTTACTCGCTGGATGACGCCACCACCTTTTCTAACGTGTTTTCCTCACAGTGAATCGGATGATTCCCTCAAAAAACGCGATGCGGGCAGCAGCTCCGCTGAGTGTTTTTCCATGGCGGGACGTTATGCGTGGGACAAAGCCACCGCTTTTCTTTGACGCAAAGTCACACAGTGAATCGAATGTTTCCTCAGAGAAAGGCAATGCTGGAAACAACCTCGCTGCCCCTTTCCTCCTGGAGAGCGTAGTGATGGAAGAGGAGCGGCCGAGTGGATCCTCAGCCACCTCGGGTCTTCCCACGTCGGCGACCACACCACTCCCAGCCGTCGACACCCTCCTCTCGGAGCTGCCCGGCAAAGTCCAGGAGGCTGCTAACAGAAAGGGATATTTCATCCTTCGCCTCCCTCCACCCTGATAGAACAATCTGGCGGGAAGGTTTGGTTCCGCCCCGGCTTGTCACCCTGTTCCCATCTGGTCTCGCTGTCCAGCTGTGATGTCACACTGGAACGAGGCTTCAGCTGGGCCCGGCAAGCTGAAGTCATCCATCTCCACCTTTGCTTCCATCTCCAGAGTGGAGGGTTTTACCAGTGCACATCCCAGGTGGTCATGGCGAACAACAACACCGCCCTGCTGGCCTACAGCATCTCTAAGAGGCTGGAGGAAGCAGACCTGCTGGAGGAGACAAAGAGGTCTCTCTGTAAAGCCGCTGACGTGATCTTAAACATGTGCACCACCTCTGTGGTCTGCCTGTCCCACATCATTGCCTGGATGACCATGATCCAGAGGACCACTTGGCTCCGCCTCTCACCATCCTTGTCCAAGAGTCTGCAGAAAAACCTGCTGTAGGGCCCCATCATCCCAGAGGTGCTGTTCGTGGCCAACTTCAGGACCATCCTTGAGAAATTGCAGAGGCTCACCTCAGCTCTAATGTGAGACCGCAGCCTGGGCTCAGCATAACATGATTTTAGCATGATAAAAGAAATGTGAAATTTGTCCTTCTTCCATTTACGTTTGGTTTTCCTGCATTGACGTTTGGCTGTGCGAGTGATCTCATTCATCCAATGGTGTGGAGTGTGCTTTGGATGCCTAATTTTTAATGGTGCAATTAGGTCAAGCACTTTAGCACAGGTCTCTTGATGTACAGTGACTAGCTCATGGGTGTTTATGGAAGAGGATTCACAGACCGAGATAAAGTTTTTAGTAAAAGCAGATGAAAAGAGCGCAGCAGTGGAAGGGTTAAATATTCGACAAGGCCTTGCTGGAGGGGTAGGGGGTTTGGACTCGTTGACAAAAGAAGTGTTGAAAGAAATGGGTTTGTGGTCAGAGAAAACTACATCCCAAATTTCTAACTCAGAAACAGATAAACCAAAGGTTAATACTAAATCCAATGTGTGGCCATGCTGGTGAGTTAGTCCTGCAACATTCTGTACAAAATTCAGAGACTGGATCATATCTAGAAAGTCCTGAGTTAGCGGCTTTTCAGGGCAACAGACATGTATATTGAAATCTCCCAGAATCAAAACCCGATCATATCTGAGCAGAATACAAGTTAAAAAGTCAGAGAGTTCAGCCATGAAGTCCTTATTATATTTGGGTGGCCTGTATAACACAGCAGAAAAAATAGGATTTGCACGGCCCACCTCAAAACACAGCAGTTTGAAGCTCAAAAAATTATCTGGTATCTGTACCAATTTGTAGTTCCAACGTTTTTTGAAAAGAATTAATAATCCACCACCTTTGCCTGATATTCTCGGAGCATTAAAATAAAAACAGTCAGGTGGTAAAATTTCCGACAGGGCCATGAACTCACCACAGGAGAGCCACGTCTCAGTCACGCACAAGAAGTCGAGACTGGTGGAGGAGAAAAAGTCCTTCAAGATAAATGTTTTATTAGCCAGAGATCTGGCGTTTATCAGGGCAATCCTTGTAGGAATCACAGCAGGAGAAGTTGTCCATGAAGTTAAGACCAGCGGTCTCAGATTTGTGGAGTTCGACCCGTGACTCCAACGACCGGAAACTCAGCCGCGGCGAACAGGTCCGCTGTGGAAGCACGACCTGACCCAAGGGACCGGGAAGGACTCAAGTGGATCGGCGCAGCGCCAGGACAGGTGATTTAAGATGTGGTCCTCGGTTGAAGAGGAAGCCGCAGCAGCAGCCCAAGTGTGAGAGATCTTTTTTTTATACCTTCTCTCCTCATGTTTTCTTCCCTTTTCTCATCTAAGCAAAAATATTATTCTGAAGAAGAATAAGAGGGCCGCTCTAATTAGCAGCAGCTTCGTACACTACGTCCATCTTTCGGACGACTGTACGCACATATTCTCGTTGTATCTCTGTGCAATGATAATAAAGCTTATTCTGATTCTGATTCTTTAATATATTTAATGTGAGGCTTTAATGTTAATAAAACTGTTGAATCAACAAGGTGGTTTGATTGTTATGCACCATTAAGATTGTACTGAATGGGAATAAATTGCATAAATGTGATGCATTTTGTTTAATTTGGTTTATTACGTAAGCATAAATGACATGTAATTCAAAGAAATGTATGCTATTTATTTTGTACAGGTAACCTGATTATTATGCAATTTAAACAATATACTTTATGTATTTGAAATAAATACACTTGTTATTATTAATTTAGAGTAATTATACTTTATTAATATTGAATACATAAACCTGAGGATTATGCATTTAAAATGATTAGGTTTTATTACACAAATGAATATGCATCATGTAAGAGTTATTAAATAGGTTTGTGTTAAAACTATCTAAAAAAAGTAAATGGGAATTTGTCATGTAATAAAATTACATTACATTAACATTAACCTTACATTAACATTAACATTACATTAACCACACTATTCTCCTTGAATAAATAAATAAATATGGTATAAGAGAGGCAGCAAGGTGGCGCAACTGGTAGAACTGCTGCCTCTCAGCGAGCAGGTCCTTGGTTCAAACCCCGGTCGGGGGGGGTTCTTTCTGGGTGGAGTTAGCATGTTCTCACCGTGCATGCGTGGGTTTCTCCGGGTACTCCGGTTTCCTCCCACAGACCAAAAACATGCATGTTAGGCTGATTGGTAACTCTAAA